CGAAGCATTATTTAATCTAGTGGTTTCTAAATGTGCAGTTACCATCAAATGAAAGGTCAGGAGTCGGTTGATAGTTTAGTATTGTTGGTAATACCTGAATGGTGGCGGGGGGAAAGGTGTATTCAATTGAATTCAGTAGGATGACAAAACTACTCTATCCGCAACGATTGGATTAAATTAGCCAGTAGATTAGGGAAATATTTATTTTGCCATGTATATTGTTACGCATTCGTCTATCTCAGTGTGGTTGATGGCAGAATTGGTTTACACATGCCACCTAAAATAACGTGTCCTCTACTGGGTTCAGACTTCTAATACTTGGCTTGATATGCCGAGTCCATAACGAGTATGCGTGGTGTTGTGAATACCTTCGGCGAATTCCACCGTCATATACCTTCAAGGACTTCATGGCGTCAGGAGATAGAAACGGGAGATTTCTCCTGAAAACCTGCTCAGCCTGAAGGTTTACTATCAGATACTTTCTCTAATGCGGGAATGGTATATCGGAGGGGCTGTTCGGAATAATAGGCATTCTTGAGGTGACGATATTTTCGTAACGAGTACAGAGCAATGGTCTCTGAAAACAGGAAAAGGGTGAGAGAGTTTGAATTAACTATAACTTAATACTTTGTGAGTACCTTGTTTGATATATTCCCCTAGCCTGAGTGCCTTTTCCGCATCTTCTCCCTGTGCGTGTCTATTCTTTTCGAATGCACGTCTCAACTTGCCATAAAAGTCGTAACTGAACGCGTTTTTCGAGATGTTACGTCAGTAACGGGATAAATTGCCTTCAACTGTGAAGTACTAACTTTGGATTTGGATAGTCACGTCCCAATCGAACCAGCTCTTTGTATAATTTGATTGCACGAAAACGAGTCGGAGCTTGCATTGAAATTTAGAGGTGAGTTCCCCGATAGTGGAACAGTCAACAGGGTAGGTGGCAGAAGCCTCCAGCCTCACATGCAACTGACCTCATCCATCGCTTCAACCATGCGTTGTTGGGCAATATTACTTTTGGCCTTGATAGGCCTTGTAAACGCTCAAACTAGGACCATAACAACAGAGTAAGGCTGATTATCCAAATGACTAGGCCGTATCTGTGTCGGAGATCCACTAACGACCCTTTCCAGAGGAGCCACCGTTGTGGTCGATGTCACGACTACTGTAAATGGTAACGGGGATGCAGTTACAACTACATCGATCATGTAAGATGATTTCCATCCCTTTTCACCCCACGATGCAACGGACTGATCAATTTCAACATCTCGCCACAGACGCACGCTCGGAGGCGATGACGGTCCTTTCGCAGGTCAACCACCAGACACAAACCAGGTAAGTATAAAGTATTTATCGGTCATTTATTCGCGGTTTGTTGACAATCGACTGTGCATTTTCACCCGCTTGAAATATTTCGACAGCCGGCTCAACCAACCTATTACTGGGTCACTTCATACGATGCCAACGGTAACTCTGTAGTCAACTCCTATCTCTTTAGTCCCACTTTTGCCCCATCATCCGCAGCGGTACAATACACTCAAGGCACCATCTACGATTACGATTCCTGGACTGCCCAATTTGCAACACAGACTGTTGTTCCAAGTTCCGCATCACCGGGGACGTCGAAAGAATCTGTACTGGCATTGAGCATGTCTCTGTGTGCAATCGTCACCGGAATGTTCTTTGTTCTCCTATGACAAGTAGAGATTTCGAGTCTTCCTTTTCCACACCCCGGAGCCACCGGACATTGATATACTAGATTGTAAGCCTGCTTCGAGGGATAGATTGATTATTCATTATGAATGTTGTGGATGTAAACTTTTGGATTCGTGATAACCTTGTTGGTCGTGGAAGAATATTCAGAACAATTTCGAGTCGCGGAATTTCGCTCATGAGTTGAAGGGACAATAACCGTTTGATTGAGATTAAGCAAGATACAAAGAGAAAGCAGAAGAGTACACGAAGAGCACGGGACACGATGCATCAGAACCAGGGGTAATAGAGGTCATGGTTCCGCGATTGGATCGCTGGATTTGTGGCTGTATTGATGAGTTGCTGAATTGGAGCGACGACAGTGGTCGTGGGCAAGGAGGAGGTGCCTTCAGCGGCCTGAGCCTAAAAATAACATTAGAACGTTGACACGAGGTCGCATAGTAAGACCAACTTTGGCTCTCTCATTACTGGCTGATAGCTGGCTCATCCTTTTGATGATCCTTTCGATGGACTCGGCCACGCAAACTCTGAATTCGAGACGTTCATTGCTGGCAGGATCTCGCGCTTGTGTCTTGAACCACAGCATAAAGTCGTCTCGGATTAGGAGCCACATTTGCTTTTGCACATCACACTGTACAAATGAGTCATTATTCCAAGTCACGGGAAACGACTGCTCATATATCTTACTTCTGGTTCCAAGAGACCTCTTGAAATGGCCAATAGGCTGGATGTCAGTAGTCCTTCGACACCAATCGGTGTAATGAAATCTTGAATATTGGGCGTCAATCTAAAAGGAGTGACATCTGAACCACCCAGGAAAGGTTTATCTCCTCTCAGTGCTGGACGAGATGTCAGAGATTGAAGACCAACGTGTCATACGAATTGATCTTACGGGGACTGGATTCCACAGAACTTATCAAACCAGTTTCTCGGGAAATGAGGACTTTTTGCGGGCGTGTGCCGAGGAATAGTGACCAGTGCAAAAAAGAGTTGGCCGCCGTCTGCAGAGTGAATTGCTTGCGCATGGTCCAAAGAGAGTAGCTGTCCTTCATGATTTGCTTCATATACTGTAGTCATGTCAGTAGCCATGCAAAGTGATGAGATGTTCAAAGACGCACGTTACTGATCACAGTCTTTGGTATATATTTGGCCTCCACTTCATTCTTCGCGTCGAGTCGTACCTGTAAAAATTCGTTCCTCGAAATCTCTACTTCCTTCTCCTTGGCCTCTTCTTGCTTCGAGTTGTTGTAAGCGCGTATTCTCTCTTGGAAGAGGACAATGGGTTCCTCTCGACCGAATCCTCTTCTTTTACAGTACTCATCATGCATGTCTACCAAGCTGATATAAGATCCATCCAACTTGACAAGCCGGAGATAAGGGCTGAGGGCGACAGATGGAAGTAGATGGAACTCGAGGTTTCGTTTCCTCGCCTCTTTCTTCTGTCTCAAAGTCCTAGAAAAAAAGTCAGTTTGGCACACGTTTCTATTTGGAATACTGTACTCGTTGAACACGCGAACTAGTTGCATGAGCCGTTCATCACGCCGTACCGCACGATTTTGGTAGTATTGCACGGTGAAGGTATGCTTAGATGCGTCGTGACCGATAAATGTAATCCTTCTGAATGCCATCATAGGCCCCCTACAACGTTCCAGTCTGGTGGAGAGACGTTTAATCTCGACAAAATGTGCATGGTGGTTGACCTGCGAAAGGACCGTCATCGCC